AAGTCTTCAAGGGCCAAGACAAAGAAAACCCATAGAACAAGCACCACTTCCTGTTTGTGCGGCAGCCATGTTGGATTTTAAGGTTCAGCTTTATAAGAAGTTAAAGAGGACAACTGATTAAAATAAAAGCTTTAGCGATGCCGCAGGTCTTTTATTTTGTAAAAATACAGATAAAAAGTTTGATTTCGGCTACAATGGAAACTTAAACAAGACTAAATGTGTGTCTCCTCAGATGGAGGTTGTCCGTAAAGTGGCCACCTCCTTCTTCTGCCTCCTGGTCTTTCTGTCGGTGTGTAAAGTTTTCCCCGTAGAACGTAACATTGACGACGACTTCATTGCCAACACACCGTTCTACGCTCAGGTGTGCTACCTGTACCTGTCCATGGTGACCACCAGACCAAAGTACTATTTTGTGTGGACGCTCGGTGGGTAGTCACCTTTACCTGGTTACCTGGTGACTTGTTTGATTTTAGTCTAACCTGAGTTTGTCCCACTGAACAGCTGACGCCATCAACAACGCGGCTGGTTTTGGTTTGAATGGTTACGACAGTAACGGCGTTCCCCGCTGGGACCTCATCTCCAACCTGAGGATCCTGAACATTGAGGTAGGGCTTTGGGTGAATGAGGGACACTTCTCCTTAACACATTTAAAGTTTCAGTCTGACTGATTAGACTCTGGCTTTGTTCCAGTTTGCCACCAGTTTCAAAGTTTTCCTGGATAACTGGAACATTCAGACAGTACACTGGCTCAAACGGTTCGTCCAAAGGCTTTAAAACACAAACAAACATGTCTGTCTTTTCCTGATGAACTATGAATGAATTTTGCTTTAGGCTGACCTTTAACCTTTGGTAAACAGGGTGTGTTATGAGCGATGTCCCTAACACCCAACAGCAGCTACCTTCATCCTGTCGGCCATGTGGCACGGCGCCTATCCAGGATACTACCTCACCTTCATCGCCGGCATCGTGGTCACACTGGCTGCCAGAGCGGTGAGCTGGAATACTGGATGGATGGATGGATGGATGGATGGATGGATGGATGGATGGAAAGATGTGATTGGATGGATGGATGTGATTAGATGGATGGATGGATGGATGGATGGATGGAAAGATGTGATTGGATGGATGGATGAATGTGGCTGATGGGATGGATGGATGGATGGATGGATGGATGTGATTAGATGGATGGATGGATGGATGTGATTAGATGGATGGATGGATGGATGTGATTGGATGGGTGGGTGGATGGATGGATGGATGATGGATGGATGGAAGGATGGATGGATGAAAAGATGTGATTGGATGGATGGATGGATGGATGGATGGATGTGATTGGATGGATGGATAGATGGATGGATGGGTGGATGTGATTAGATGGATGGATGTGATTAGATGGATGGATGTGATTAGATGGATGGATGTGACTAGATGGATGGATGGATGTGATTAGATGAGTGGATGGATGGATGTGATTAGATGGATGGATGGATGGATGTGATTAGATGGATGGATGGATGGATGGATGGATGGATGTGATTAGATGGATGGATGAAGTACGTTTATTGTTGCCAATTGAAACTACGTGTTTTTCCCCGTAGGTCCGTCACAAAGTCCGGCCGTACTTCCTTCAGTCTGCCACCCATAAATTGGTGTATGAAGTCATCACTTGGGCGGCCACTCAGATCGCCATCTGCTACACTGTGGTTCCTTTTGTCCTGTTGTCTGTGTGTCCATCTTTAAAGTTTTACAGGTCAGTGCAGCAGTGCAGGTAAATCACCTGTCATTAGGCTCAGACTTGGTGGGTTTCAGGTTGAGTCCAACTCATTCCTGTCAGGTGTTGCTCATGTGTCCTTTGGTCAGTCGTCATCAGATCCCTTTAAATTATGATGGAGATCAGATTCATGGGATCTGCTGACATTTGCCTCGGGTTTATGTGTGTTTCACTGAGATTGAGCCAGTCTGAACTCAGATATGAACCCATCAGCTTTTATTTTATTCTGACTTCTGTAACCCGGTCTAACTGGGTTTATGAACTCTAACCAAGCTGCTTGCTCTGCAGGTCGTGGTACTTCAGCCTCCACATCCTCTGCATCCTCCTGGCAGTGGCGATGCCCGTCAAACCCAAACACCTGCGCCTCAAAGTGCAGCAGGAAAGCAGTCCTCAGGATGCGGTCCAGAAGACACTGGAGGCTGCAGACGGCACCTACGCACAGAAAGAAAAAGCATCATGAGACGGAGGTCAAAAGTCAGTCGTTACTTCATTTTTCATGGACTTGTGTGGAAGGACGAGGAGCCAAACAGGCCCAGTGACCTTCCTGCTGAATTAGGTACAGAAACACAACGGCCAAAACGGTTTTATTTGGATTCAGAGGAGGTGAGGATGAAGCAGGTCCTGGGTCGTATTTTTTTTTTCAGAGGAAGCTTGACTGCCAGAACTGAAAGATTCAGCAAAAATCTGCCATTGGAGAAAATAAATAACGTGAGTTTACACGGAGCAGCTGTGTGTGATCGGTAAGAGCTACACTGCCATGGTGTTGAACTGACTCCATCTTCCTCCGGTCAGAAACCTGCTGATCAACGCAGTTAAAACGAAACCACACGTGTATAAAACAGCTGGATCATTAAATAAATAAAAGTCTGACTCGTTTAAACTTCAGAGTATTTAAAAAAGTTCCTTTTAAAGAAAAGTGCCAATTATCGTTCCACTCAGTCACCTTAGTTCTTCTGAGTTGCACCAGAAAAGCGAAATGCTGCTTGTTAGAAGTCGCCTCGGTGAGTTTACAGTTCAGGTTTGTGTGATTTTATCTTGGCAGAATTTTGCCTGAAACCCAGATTTAACCTTCTAATGTGAACTGTGATGCTGCACAGATCACGTTTCTTCTCCATGAGAACAATCATCAAGTATTGGCTGCTTTTATTTTGAAATTTATTCTGAAGGCAGTGATCATGGCTTTGATGGGGGTGTGGGGTTTGGTGGTTAGGCTCTACAGATTAAAGCATTTAAATAACTCCATAAAACTTCAAACCCCACCTAATCCTCTGATATTATTACAAACATCTGGATAATACTCTCAGCATTCCAGCTGGATGTGTGTCAGAAGACCTTCTTATTGGATTTGATGAAACTTAGCTCAAAAATATAACTTGTGTTAAACACTTTTTTCCATGGTCACTAAAATCCAACACAGGAAAACAGTCGGAGGTGTTTATTCTAGTGTGAAAAAGGAGCGACCAACAAAAACATCTGGAAGCATTTAAAGATTAAAATATAAAACACCTCATGTTTCATTTCTATGGAGTTAATTTTGTTTCTTTATTAATTACAAAAAAGTACCAAAACTGAAAAAAAAAAAAAAAAAGGAAACCAAATTCTAAAAAACTGCAAACAAGGTTGTGGGCGAGGCCTTTTTGTGGAAGATGAAAGGCCTGTCTTCATTGGCTGATGTCACCAGTCTGCTATTACCAGCTAAGGGCTGGTCCGCCAGCACAAAGGTTAAAGACGTAACATTACGAACGGTAGAGGAACATTTACGTTTGTACAACGTGACAACAACTAAAAGGTTTTGAGAGCAAAGAATGGAGATGCACAAGCAAAATGTTCAGGTTTTGAAAATATATTTTTTCCTTTTGAAAATAAAACTTTCTGACTCTGATAGAAAATGGTTTGATTTCTAATTCAGCTTTAAATAGACATAAAAGTTTAGAGGTAAACTTAATTAATTCTTTTTTTTTTTGCATTCCATTTTTCATTATTTTGTTTTAACTTTGTCTTTTGTTGAAATTACTTTTTTGAATGATTAATAAAAAACTAAATTAACTCCATAATTCTTGGCTGCTTTACATGTTACCACAGAAAACTGTTTAGGTATATAAATCTGTTTATTTTTACTAACAACAGAAATGTGTCTCTTCTTCAGCAGTTCAACCGTGATAACCAGTAGTTTCGTTTAGCTGCAGACGTTTGTTTTAGGCTGATTAGCTAACAGCTGATCCAGCTAATCCAGTTGAGATCTGCGGTGGACAGTTTGCTCTCTAGCACCTGTAAATGCTATTTTCAGACAAACTTCAGATTTGAGTTATTTAATTTAGCTTTTCTCTTGACCACTGTTAGTATTACGTGGCTCTGGTGTTGTACTTCCCATCAGTGTTTTTGAGTCTTTTTCTTCTTTTCTTTACTAAACCAAACGATCTAGATATAGCTGTATGTTTTACATTAGTACTTCTACTGTTGGCTTCCCTCCATGACTCCAGGTTGAAGACGTGAGGATGAATCTGTGGATAAATGTGACATTGGGATGGGAAACCGTCCACCCATCTGTAGGGTTGATAATTGTTTGTTTGGACTTCATGTTTGATTTTTGTAAATGTGAATAAATGTTGTTTTTTTAAATACTTTAAGTGAATGTTTATTGTGTTTTAATACAAACATGTTGCAAAAGAAGAAAAGGTACACACACACACACACACACACACACACACACACACACACAGCTCAACAATAATAATAATGCAGAAAATTAAAATTCACCAAACACTTTCAGGATATTCTTGTTTTAAATCAGGAACAAAGAAATGAGATTAAATATCTTTTGAGTGTCTTGAACAGAAGAGAGAGGTGTGTAAACAGCAGAACTGATTAGAGTTTCTGACTGGTTTACCAAAGGTAAACTAGAGGCTCTGACTCATGACCTTCAGATTATGAGATTGAGCTGTGGACTGTTCCAACAAAGCACGTAAAGAGTGAATTTGACAATTATTTTAAACTAGAAGCCACGTTTTACAGTATTTACTAGCCTACTAACTTAGTTTTGTTCTAATTTTTTATTTTTTTAATCATGACTTGATTGAAAATAAGTTTAGTTCCCAGACACTACAATTTACAAAAACGAACATCGAAATAAACATCACTGGTGAGTTATCGTTTTACCGGAAATGGTCGTTTTAAACTTTTATTTTGACAGGGTTAGGCAGAAGTGCTGGCCGTAGATTGGCTAACCTGACGCGGGGGCGGGCTATGATTGGCTGCGCTGTTGTTCTCGGCTCTCGGCTTTTATTCTTTCTGATCAAGATGGCTGCTGCGGTTGTCCGGGGTGGAGAATGACCGAATGCTTTCATTTTAACACAGGCCAACGAGAAGCTCTGAAACCCGCCCGAACCCGGACCGTTAAACCGAATCTAGCTCTTATTTAAAGGTAAAGCCGCTTCTGTTCCCTCGCCTCTCCGCTAGCATCTTTTCCTGTCATCGATTAATTATCGATCCGTCGGAGTGAATCAGGTCCCCTTCATGTGTTGCTATGTGACGCATTCATGGCTGAAGTCTTCAGATTCAGATGCTTTGTTGGGTTTTTGTTTGAGCTGCAGGCGGTGAAAGAGTGAATGGGTGAATGAGTGGATCTGTCCGACAGCATGAAGGTTATTGCTGCTGTTATCTGACGCAGGTTTAATATTTACACTTTATGAACCATAAACGCGCCTGTTTGTGCTCCTGGTTAATACTGAGATTAAAGGACTTTAATATTAAATAGCTGCGAATTTATTTCATGTTTAAATGTTAAATATTTAAGCTGGTGTTTTTCTGCTTTCGAACATTTATTTATTTTCTCATTCATTTATTATTTGCAGTCTTTACTCAGGTGTTTCTAAAATCATGTCATTTCTAAAATGAATGAAATTAAAATCTCTAGATTTGATGTCAACAGTAAAATGTGTTTATCGACATGTTTTTTATTTAAGAGACACAATAATTTATTTCTGTTAACAGAATAAAGAAACAAATTACAATCAAATTAATCCTAAAACAGCTAAAATTAGTTCAGAAGATTGTTTTTCTAGCAGACTGCTTTGTGCTGTTTATTTTGATTATTTATAACGTTAGCTCAAACAAAAGGTTTTAATTCTAACGTAGAAAATCAACCCACGTTCTAAAAAAGGGAAAAGAACCCCATTTCTGTGCTGGGAGGACCTAAAACACCTCCTCAGCTAAAAAAAAACCCAGATGCATTAAAATGGACACTTCTTGTGTTTCCAGGAGTTCTAACCTTCTTGAGACCGAGTGGAGAACAGATGTAGAAGGTTCCACAGGGTTCTGCAGGGAAATCCTTGCATGCTAGATTTCGATCAGGTTGAAAGAACAGTTCTACTCAGACATGATCAGGTCTGGTTTTACCCCAGAACCGGTCCGGACCCGTCTGTGGTCTCCTCCAGGTCTGAGTCGGACCTGATGTTCAGCCATCAAGGACTTGCTTAGAGGGGGTGGGGGTCATGTGCTCAGCATCAGCATCACTTTATGGAGGTGTCGGGTGGTTTGTATTTCTGGTCTGGATCAGAACCGTTCTGTGGATAGTGCTCGTGTTGTTTGGATAAAGCCGGAGCAGACCTGATCCTGTCATCTACGTTCACCCATATGGAGGCTGTTGCCATGGTGACGGCTGCACATCTTTATGAAGTGGAGGGTAAAGCCTGTTGAAGTCCATATCAGCGGGTGGGCAGAACCCACAGGCTGGTCCAGGGTCAGTTCAGGTTAGACTTCAGTCAGAGTTGAGTCTGCAGCAGCAGGTTTATCTCAGCAGCACAGACCCCAACAGGCTCCGCCCACCACTCGGAGTGGAGCCCCCTACAGGCTTCAGAGGTTGTTACAGATGAACAGCTTCCCTAAAACCCTCCTGTCCCCCGTCCTCCAGCAGGGGGCGCATCAACGGACCGCAGACATGGACACCACTACGTCCATCAAGATGACCACGCTGGCCATCCAGAACCTGTTCAGCTACGTGGAGGAGGAGAACCTGGCCGCTCTGAAGGCTCATCTGGACCGCTTCAAGGAGGTGGACGGGCGCAGCGATGTACGTCCAGATAAATACGGCAACATCAGAGAGACCGCAGGAAAATAAACAACAACCTGCTTGTCAGGATGCTAAATTATTATTTTTATCATAGTTCTTCTTCATCTGCCCCTTTAGATGAATATAACTGTAATGATTTATTTATATTTTGTCATGTTTATGTATGTTTTACTAGGTTGCTTGTGTTGTTTCCAGTATTTTATTATTATTTCTCATCTTTCTGTTTTTGCTGAGCTGGACGTTAATGCTGCTACATTTTTAAAATTAGGTTTTTATTTATTAGTTTACTTTGTTTCCAGAATGGTCAGACGCCTCTGATGCTGGCGGCGGAGCAGGGCAGCCTGGAGATCGTCCAGGAGCTCATTAGGAGGGGAGCCAACGTCAACCTGGATGATGTGGTGAGTAAAATAAGCGCACCCACACCTCCATCCCTCAGAAGTCATTTTGTCTGACTTCCATTAAACAAACAGACTCATTCCCATTCACCCCACCCCCTTCCTCTCTGGGACTCTGTGGTTGCTAGGAGACAGGTGGGATAATGGCTGCTGTTTCCGTGGTAACGTGACCTCTGTGTGTTACAGGATTGCTGGTCGGCACTGATCTCTGCAGCTAAAGAGGGTCACTTGGAGGTGGTAAAGGAGCTGCTGGAGAACAGCGCCTACATCGAGCACAGAGACATGGTGGGTGCAAAGCATCATGGGAAATGTAGTCTAAGCTATAGAAAAACATCTGTGGTGTTTTCTGGTTGTGTGACAGGGCGGCTGGACGGCTCTGATGTGGGCGGCTTATAAAGGACGTCTGGAGGTACTCAAGCTGTTGCTGGAGCACGGCGCTAACCCCAACACCACGGGACAGGTGACACACTCAGTCAGGATGCGTGTGCAGATGCAGGAACACACTTGGATGTCTGATTCTGATCTCCTCCTCTCGTCTCTCTGAGCAGTACAGTGTCTATCCCATAATCTGGGCCGCAGGTCGAGGACACTCGGAAATCGTCAAGCTGCTGCTGCAGAATGGAGCCAAAGTCAACTGTTCAGATAAGGTGACACAAAACAAAACAGGCTGACTGTGTGAGGTTACAACACAACATAATCAATTCCTTGTATACACCTCTCTGTCATAAGTGGCTGCCATCCACCTGGAGCAGCAGAAGAGTCATAATCAGTAGGAATCCTCTAGAGTCAGATAGAAAAACCAACCAAAACACCTCAGAGTGAGAGGAAAATGACTCAATAAATCCTCATTATTATTACTATCATCATTATTATTATCATCATTATTATCATCATTATTATTATCATTGTTATTATCATTATTATTATTATTAATATTATCATTATTATTATTATTATTATTATTATTATTAATATTATCATTATTATATTATTATTATTATAAAATACAAAACACCTAAGAGCTTTCAGAAGAGGCACACACTATCTAATCAAATAAAACAATGTGTGTGTGTGTGTGTGTGTGTGTGTGTGTGTGTGTGTGTGTGTGTGTGTGTGTAACAGTATGGTACCACGTCTTTGATATGGGCAGCCAGGAAGGGACACTATGATTGTGTGATGCACCTGCTGGAGAACGGCGCTGACGTGGACCAGGAGGGGGCGGTACGTACTCTCTCATGGTCCAGAACTCAGAACCGGTTGGACCAACCATCTCATCAGCTGATAACTTCTGTTTCCCGGTCTCTAGAACTCTATGACGGCTCTGATCGTGGCCGTGAAGGGCGGATACTCGGAGGTGGTGAAGGAGCTCCTGAAGAGAAACCCGAATGTCAACATGACTGATAAAGACGGGAACACGGCGCTGATGATCGCCGCCAAGGAGGGACACACTGAGATCGTCCAGGACCTACTGGACGCAGGAACGTACGTCAACATTCCTGACCGGGTGAGACGGACACCAGAATGACACGTCCACTAGAGGGCGCTGCTGCAGGCGGGACTTAACGGTGTCCTGTGTGTTACAGAGCGGCGACACGGTGCTGATCGGTGCGGTGAGGGGGGGCCACGTGGAGATCGTCAGAGCGCTGCTGCACAAATATGCCGACATTGACATCCGAGGACAGGTGAGCTCATGGAGCGGGCGTCGATCCATACCAGGAATCTTTTAACCTGATGATCGACCACGTTTTAATCTGACCTGCTGCTGAGATTGTCGCCCTAATCCTAATCCTAACCTCTGCTTCCTGGCGACATTTAGATGTTCAAGAGACGAGGGGTTTCTCACGATGCGTCTGTCTCTTTCAGGAGAATAAAACGGCTCTTTACTGGGCCGTGGAGAAAGGGAACGCCACCATGGTGAGGGACATCCTGCAGTGCAACCCCGACACCGAAACCTGCACCAAGGTGACACCTGAACACACCCTCACCTATTCGCTCTCCTCTTATAAGTGCCGCCCACTGGCAGAGAACAATCGGGAGTTTTTTTATTCCACTTCAGGACGGCGAGACGCCGCTGATCAAAGCAACAAAGATGAGGAACATCGATATTGTGGAGCTGCTGCTGGATAAAGGAGCCAAAGTGTCGTCTGTCGATAAGGTAAGAGCCTCGCCGGAAGCAGAACCAGAACCAGTTCAGACCTCCTCCGGGTTTAGAAGGTTCATCTTGCTGGTTCTGTTTGTCCAGAAAGGAGACACGCCGCTCCACATTGCCATCCGCGGCCGGAGTCGCCGTCTGGCTGAGCTCCTGCTCCGAAACCCTAAAGATGGCCGCCTGCTGTACCGACCCAACAAGGCTGGAGAAACGCCGTACAACATCGACTGCAGCCACCAGAAGAGCATCCTCACACAGATCTTCGGAGCGCGTACGTTCGTCTCTGTTAGTCTATGTGGTGTTACGCCTGTGATGTGATGTGACATGCCCCGCCCCCTGCAGGTCACCTGTCCCCCACAGAGACAGACGGGGACATGCTAGGCTACGACCTGTACAGCTCGGCCTTGGCCGACATCCTGAGCGAGCCCACCATGCAGCCGCCCATCTGTGTGGGTCTGTACGCTCAGTGGGGGAGTGGCAAGTCCTTCCTGCTCAAGAAGCTGGAGGGTGAGTCTGCGCGCGCACACACACACACACACACACACACACACACACACACACACACACACACACACACACACACACACACACACACACACACGCAGGAGTTAACTACTGCTCCTCCTCAGATGAGATGAAGACTTTCGCCGGGCAGCAGATTGAGCCGTTGTTCCGTTTCTCCTGGGTCATCGTCTTCCTGTCTCTGCTCTTCTGCGGCTCTGCGGCCGTCGTCCTCGGCTTTAGTGTTGACCCGCTGTTCGCCTTCGCCGTCTCCATCAGCATGCTCACCCTCATCTACCTTTTCTTTGGTGAGATGTGAACCCCCCCCCCCCCCAGCCCGCTACAGGCGAACTAATCTGAGTCTTCTGCAGTTCTCGTGTACTTCGGCGGGCACATGGAGGGTGATAACTGGGCATGGGCGCGGCAGCTCAGCACCCGTCTGGCTCGGCAAACCAGATATTTGCAGCTGCTGCTGAAGCTGATGTTCATCAACCCGCCGGAGCTGCCGGTGCAGAGCACCAAGGCTCTACCTGTCAGGTAACACAGAGATGCTCATGGGGAACACGTAGAAACAACGCTCAACTGGTTTCTCCGACAGGTTCCTGTTCACAGACTACAACCGTCTGTCCAGCGTCGGAGGAGAGACGTCCATGGCTGAGATGATAGCGACTCTCTCAGACGCCTGCGAGAGAGAGTTTGGGTTCCTCGCCACGCGCCTGTTCAGAGTTTTCAGCACCGAGGAGACCAAAGGTAACAGATGTGGGGCGTGGACCTCTGGAGATCCTCACGGCTCCGCCCTGGGCCTGGTTGTGGTTGTGTAGAAGTTTGTCACCCAGCAGGGGACGTTCTATTCCCGCTCGTGTCTCACATCTCTGTTTCTAGCTGTGTTTGACGAACGCTCTGAGCCCTGCAGCTTTTCTTCTGTTCTTTTTCCTGCAGGTAAGAGCGAGTGGAAGAAGATCTGCTGCGTGCCGTCCTTCTTCCTCTTCGTCTTTGTGCTGGTCTGCCTCATCAGCGGCATGGTGCTGCTGGCCATCTTTAAAGTGGACAGCGAGAACCAGAAGGTGAACGCCGTGCTGATCGCCATCGGCAGCGTGGTCGGCCTCGCCTTGCTGCTGAACTGTAAGACGTGGTGGCAGGTCACGGACTCGGTGCTGAACTCGCAGAGGAAGCGGCTCCACGGCGCTGCCAACAGGATGCACAAACTGAAGAGCGAGGGCTTCATGAAGGTGAGCATGGCTGCAGGCTGTGTTTGACCGTGACCTTCTGACTGGCTTCAGCTGCCCTTCTGCTTCTTTTGTCCTGCAGGTGCTGAAGCATGAGGTGGAGCTGATGGCGAGGATGGCGAAGACCATCGACAGCTTCACACAGCATCAGACAAGGTTGGTGGTCGTCATCGATGGTCTGGACTCGTGCGAGCAGGACAAAGTCCTGCAGATGCTCGACACGGTGAGGAGACTTCTCCAGCAGGAAGTCCTCTAATCTGAGTTCATGTGGAGATAAAAAGCGCCAATGTTCTACAGCAGTGACCCATTTGGTTCCTTCTGCCCCGCAGGTTCGGGTTTTATTCTCCAAAGGTCCCTTTATCTCCATCTTCGCCAGCGACCCTCACATCATCATCAAAGCCATCAACCAGAACCTGAACAGTGTCCTTAGAGACTCCAACATCAACGGACACGACTATATGAGGAACATCGTCCACCTGCCGGTCTTCCTCAACAGCCGTGGACTCTCCACCGCCAAGAAGATGTGCACCGCCGCTGCGCCTGCCAACGGGGACGCCGCCAACGCTGAAGGTTACGACTACAGACACCCCCCCCCCCCCCCCCCCCCCCCCCCCGTTCCCTCCCATCACTCTAGGTCCAACTCACCCCAAAATTCCACTATCTCCGCTCCGGCAAGAACTCCGCAGCAAAAACGGTCCCGTTGTAGTCAATCAGAGCTGTTCCACCACTGCGGCCGTGTGGCGCACTGCGCCGCCCGCCGTTCCGCCATCTGGCAAAAATAGGATCGATTCTATTTTTGCCGGACGCCGGAGCACCTCCGCAGTCAATGGACAGAAATCACAACCGCCCAACAGGAAAGGGAGCAAGCACAACTTCCGTTATTTCACAATAAATCGATAAACAAAATGCGTTTTTTGTTTCATATGCACAGGTTTAACAACTTTTAACAACTATCAATGGCGGCTGAAGTTTAAATGCACAAAAATAAGCCATAAATACAGTTTCCACTGTCAAAGTAGTCACACTTTGTTGATCCAAACTCTGCTGATCTCTCAACACAAATGATGGGCAGATTAAACGGTTCATTTCGATGCTTCTCCCACACAACGGGTGTTTGGATCTAACTTCCGCGTTTATTGCTTGGTAGGGCTGGGGGTAAACGATTATTTTTAAAACGATTATTCTGACGATTACTTTATCGAATAGTCGACTATTCTAATGACTATTTAGAAAATTAATCTAATGATTATTTTTCTATTGCACAATTAACAAAAACCAGAAAATCTCAAATAAATTCCTCAAAAAAAAATTTGATAAATTCTTACTGTAAGAGAATAAACACTACAGGCCTTCCATTTTGTATAACACTGCTTTTATTGTGTTGCGGTTGGTTATGTTCTGGTGACGTGTAGAACTTGGGAGTGCAGGCTGCTGCCTGAGAGGTGGTAGAAGATGGAGTGTCTCCATGCTGCTTTGTTTTGGTCACTTATGTGCGTGAGGCGAGTGGTGTTACGGGTTAAACCAAACTCAGGTGATATTTTACACTAAACCGTAAACCCACAACACTCTAAATGTAATAAAAGGGAGATCTACACCACAAAAAAGATGAACTCTAAACCAAAACGTAACAGCTTATCCCAACGCAAGAAGCTGTTAGCGAAGATGCTAACAGTAGCTTTACCAACGTTAAGTTCAAGTTACCAAGTTTAAATAAACCAAAAACACCCAGCAGCAAACAGACCAGCACGGAGGAGAGACTGCTACCACCAAAACAGCTCTCCTCATGTCTGAAAGAAGCTCCTTTATTAAGGGAGAAGCGCTCCCGGTGATTTTCTACATCTGCGATAGACACGAAGCAGCGCATCTGACCCCGGAAGTTGTTGTCCGTTGCCGGGAGACGAAGGGGCAAAACAGGAAAATAATCTAGTAGTGGACGGACGTTGTTCCGGGTCTTCGGTATTTGGCGGAGATGTTAGTGAAGGCGGAGAAGAGGGCGAACTAGAGGAAGAACAGGCAGATTCCTCCTCTATTTACAAACTCCTGGGGATGCAACAAGTGGGCGCGGTGCGTCGACTTCCGGATCTGACGTCGACAAATTTTTAGAATCGAGCCGTCGACTTCGTCGAGGCTTCGCTACAGCCCTATTGCTTGGACTGTATCGCAAGATCTCGAAAATCCTGCGCATGCCTGTTTGCGCACCTCAGGTCTCCGCACCGGAGCGGAGCCGTTGTAGAGCGGGTACCAGTAAAAATTGAGTTCGGAAGCGAGCGGCAGCGGAAAGCGGGGGCGGAGCGGAGATAGTGGAATTTTGGGGTCAGTTCAGTTTTTTATAATCAGGACCAGAGTCGCCTCAAGGACCTTCATCCCAACACAGGTATGTTCATGAAGCCAATCAGTAAAAGGTTTCCTATATAAGGAACCCAGCAGGTTGCATCGAGTCACTGACTAGTGTCAGCGTCTTTACAGCAATCCTCATACTAAGCAAGCATGCAGCGACAGTGGAGAGGAAATCTCCCATTTAACAGGAAGAAACCTCCAGAGGATCCTGGCTCAGTATAAGCAGCCATCCACGACTCACTGGTGATGGAGAAGACAGAGCTCACGCACGCACACACACACACGCTCGTGCACGTGTGAGAGCCGGGGGGGGGGAAGTGGGGTTGCACACTTTCTGCTGCTGTTTCTCACCAGAATCAGCTGATGGAGGGCTCTAGTTTGGTTGCGCCGTTCGTGTCAGCGGACACGGTCGGGGAGGGGGGCGGGGCGGGCCAAGGAAAGCTTTGCAGGCCGCCAGGCTTATAAAGCCCTGGGGGAAACCCTGCTATTCGGTTGGGTCCATTTGCGTAATTTAAGTGCAGCAGATAAAAGTTCCTAGGCGAGTTTCCGCACAGACGCTGTATTGAGTGACGCATGATGGCTGCACGTGCCTGATTGTCGTTAAAAAAATGTGATCTGCAAATTCTGATCAAGGCCTTTCAGAGCGGATCGAATCAGCTGGCTGTCAATGCTGCTGGAGCTACTGCTGGACCCCGTAGATGAAGGGAGCATCTCTTAGCCCCTCCCTCCCTTCTCTCACACTGTCGGCACGCAGTGGCTAAAATGTAAACAGACACGTCTGCTGAACTTCCCGCTGGGACAATTGATGTAAAGTTTTCATCCTACAACAAAAACACGGCGCGGAGGAAGTTCGTTATTTAATACGAGTTATAAAGGAGAACCTCTGGGCGGTGTGAGGGGAGTTTTTTAGGCTCGCTGCAGAAATAAAAACAGGAGCATCAACAGTCAAACACGTGTCTGTATGATCGTGACGCTCATAGCTGCACTAATAACCTGTGAAATAATTAAAGATGCTAGATCAGCACCTGTGATGACACCTGCTTCTGCTCGCTATAGGAGCCGCTTCAGACATGAAATAAATATTATATACCAGCAATTCATCAAACCCAGCTCTTAAAAGCACCAAACTGAATATGATGTTAGCGTACCGTTACACCCCTAATATATGTAGTAAAAAGAATTGGTCCAAGCACTGAACCCTGTGGTACTCCACAAGTAACCCTGGAGTATGAAGATTTGTCGTGTACGTTTACAAAATGAAATCTGTCAGACAGGTAGGATTTAAACCAGCCTAGCGCTGTTCCTTTGATCCCTACAGCATGTTCAAGTCTTTCTAAAAGAACCTTGTGATCAACTGTGTCAAAGGCAGCACTGAGATCTAACAAGACTAGAACAGACACAAGATTCTTATCTGAGGCCATGAGAATATCATTGTAACTTTCACTAATGCAGTTTCAGTGCACGAAATCCTTAAGTTTTCAGAAATCTGAAGACAAAATAAGTTTTTCATGGCTCTGTTCTTCTGTAGATGTTTATTAAAATGATCAAAAGCTTGTGGAAAAGCTGGAAACGTCTGTTTGGACCGCAGAGGCAGCAGATTCCTGCTGGAGACAAGTCATGACCTACTTCCTGTTTGTGTCCTGTAGGCTGGCACGAGGAGCTGGACAGGAAGTTGTCTCAGCACAGCCTGGGAGAGATCACCAAGTTTGGCAGCAAAACCACGCTGAACCGCCGGGTAGGGTGTGTGTGTGTGTGTGTGTAATAATTACAGTTTTGTCTGATGATTGGTCTCATTTCGTGTCACTGCCGTCCTGCTGTGGCTCAGCTGATTGAGGTCATGTGACCTGTGTTGTGTGGATGCAGGACACGTACCGGCGCCGTCAGGTGCAGCGTTCCGTGACCCGTCAGATGTCCTTCGACCTGACGAAGCTGATGGTGACGGAGGACTGGTTCAGCGACATCAGCCCGCAGTCCATGAGGAGGCTGCTGAACATCGTCTCCGTCACAGGTGATACGGGACTTCCCATCAGCCTCCAGTCCATCTGGATCCGTGACGGTCGATAAACCCGCCTCTTCCTGTTTTGTCCAGGTCGTCTGCTACGAGCCAATCAGATCAGCTTTAACTGGGACCGCCTGGCGTCCTGGATCAACCTGACGGAGCAGTGGCCCTACAGGACATCCTGGCTCATCCTGTACCTGGAGGAGACGGACGGGGTCTCGGACCAGACCACGCTCAAGTCCATCTACGACAGGTCAGAGGTCTCCTTCAGCTCCGGTCCCGGAACCTCCAGTTCTGTTCAGCATCTGATGTGTCTCGTTCGTCAGAGTGTCCAAAAACATCCCCACCACCAAAGATGTGGAGCCGCTGCTGGAGATCGACGGAGACGTCCGCAGCTTCGAGGTCTTCCTGTCCTCGCGGACTCCTGTCCTGGCAGCCCGAGACATTCACACCTTCTTGCCGTGCACCGTCAACCTGGACCCAAAGCTCCGTGAGATCATCTCAGGTGAGACTGGCAGGCGAGTCTTCTGCAGAGGAATTAGAAGGATTAGAAGTTCGTGTCCTCCTACCTGTTTAACTGGGACAGATGTCTTTGGACTCTGGTTTTACTGATCCAGATGTTTTCTCTCCATTTCAGTTCCACTGTTTGGTTTTTTTCATCTAACCCAGATGTTCTCTTCCTGATCCAGATGTTTGTGCCGCTCGAGAGCAGATGAATATGGGTGGAGTCACATACCCAGCCATCCCACTGCAGGAGGCCCAGCCCCGCCCTATCTCCGTCTACAGCCAGGTGTCGTCCACCTGTTCGCCGTCCGCCTCCTTCAGCGGACCCTTCAACCAGCCACCAGGGGGCGTCATCTCCCCGCAGCCTCACAGCAGCTACTACAGCGGGATGGCTGGCCCACAGCATCCCTTCTACAACAGGGTTAGTACAGGCCCCGCCCACTGCCTCCTCACCTGGTAGAGCTGTGACATCATCACATACTGTGATTGCATGCTCCTGGTTCAGTTCACTCCTCGTTTCTTTCTGCTTTGATTTGATTTGATTGTTTTGAGGGAAATTTCTGCTGACAGGCAGCCGACCAATCACCATCGAGCTCGGCTCTCAGGGCCAATCAGCTGATCCAGATGGAGCTGCAGCAGAGATTTCCTCCTTCATTTGAGTTGTTTACTTTTTCCATGTTGACATCTCCATGAACGTTGTTTTGATTTTCTTCCCCCCCCCCCACCCCTCAGCCATATTTTCCACACCACCTTTACCAGCTGCCACGCCCAGTTACGGCCTCCTTCCCACCACACCTCCATCATCTCCGCCCGCTTCCTAAAAGCACCTTCAGCAGAGACAGCGCCGCGCCCGTAAGTACGACGACCCGGAGCCGATTAATTGGGTCAGAACCTAAAAGGTTCTGGTTCATCAACAACAGAATCACTGGAGGCCAATTTAATTTGGCTCATTTAGAAAATTAATTTAATTTTTTCATAATTATTTTCTCCAGAAACTTTATTTGTGTTTTTCATTATTTGTAGTTTATTTAATCTGGAGTCATCATCACTGCCTGATGGTTTCTTCTGCTGCTGCTCCACTCGTTTGCTCCTCTTCTTCTGTGGTTTTTTGGAGTAACGCTCCAGGAAACAGCTGCTGATGTTTGTTTATAGATCAGACTCATTTCCTGTTTGTGTCTCGTGGCTCATCCTGCTGTTTTCATCCCTCGTCTGTCTGTCCTTCTGTCTGCAGTCTAAGAATTCATCTTTGAAACGGAAGCAGGTACTGAACCCTCCCTAACAAGTACTACATCTCCCAGCATGCACCCTGCTTGCACATCCTGTAGCCTTTGATCTTTTGCTGTGACGGTTTTCCTCAAACCCCCTAGAGCAGGAAAAGGGTGCAGACTCCTGAGACTAGTGGGATCAGAAACTGGGAAAACTGGGAGCTTCTTCCCACCAGTTTTTTTCAGAAGTCGTTTTTTTTTTTTTTTTTGCCCCTCTCCACCCCACCCCCACCTCCAGGAAACAAAAGACCTGAGTCTTCGTCTGCATGTCGGAGCACAAACGGGATCACGGCTAAATAACAGGAATTGTCCCTCTGACTAGGGCTGCAACAAACGATTATTTGCATAATCGATGAATCAGATGGGGTCTCGACACGATTAATCGATTAATCGGATTACATGGGGACATTTTTAAAAACTGCTAGGGAAACGTTATTTTGTCTCCTTCCTTCACTTTATTAAACACAACATTATTAGAAAACTGTTCAGTAGCAGAAAAACAACATGCCATCACCTAAATTGTCTTATAAGGTGTATAGACAGAGACCCTAAGCTACACCTATCTGTGACCTAAAATGCTTGGTCCAAGTTAAACAGGCAATTCTCATCTGTTTTTTTTTTCTCATCTGTAGACATTTATTATAATTGGGGATGTCAAACAATTTTTAAATGTAATTAAACATTGGCTGTGAATTAATCAAAATTAATCACCATTTCCAAAAATGACTGAAAAAATACCAAATAAAACAAAAGTAAATGAATGCCACCCTCCTTGCGATGATGCCCTGGGCAACTGCCATAAAGTCACATCAAGAAATGCTGCTGATCATTCCAATGATCCCAAATAGACTCGCATTAGGCCACATGAAAGCAACTGAACCCCAAAATATATTAACCAGTATATAACTACACTCACACAACACGCCTGCAGCAACAGTTAGGACTCCTCCCTCCCTTTTAAAAGCGTTTTCGCTTCTGAGGACATTGTGGTTGTAAAGCCACATGCTAGTAGTCTGGCCCCGGTGTGATCAACCAGTTTCTGCGGGAATGTGACGGCGGAACCGGTTGGCAGCTGCGCGAGTCGTCCCCCCCCCCCCCCCCCCCCCGCCTATCTAATAGCGTTGTGCTTACGATTTTATAGACTTGTTTTTACGAGCTTAGGGCATGTCTAGCCTGTGTAATAATCCGGGGCTTGGGTGAATCACTTTTGAAGTTTTTAACTTACCCGGACACCGAGCTCTCTCCTTCCTCGCTGATGATTCTGACATGCTTGCGTTTAAGATGCTGCATCATCACCGTTACTCCCGTGCCATGCTAAGTCTGACCTACAAACGTTGCAGGTAACGAATGTCTTCGCCTGATTTAACTGAAAATGCTCCCAAGTTTTTACTTTTTTTGGGTCTCGCTGCTTCTGCCATGTTCCTCTTCCAAACACCTGCCGGCTCTCCGGTCTGCGCTCAACGGCGGGCGGGAGGGGAGGGGGCTTTTGGAAGAGTTGTGCAACACAACGAATCTATGACGCAATTCGTTGCCAACGCTTTTAGTAATCGATTTTCATCGAATTTATCGATTCGTTGTTGCAGCCCTTCCTCTGACGAGCTTTTATTTTGGAGGAAACAAACTACCTGTAATTTAACAGCTAATGATGATGATTATTATTGTTTCTTTGTTCGGTTTCAGTAAAAAATAAGTAATTAAACCCAATTTTAGTTTCAGCTTCGTTGTTTCCTATCGGAGTTTTTAATTCTGTTACTATCTGGGTCCATAGTGGTTACGGTAACTAACTAGTTATGGTAACTAACTAGTTGTGGTAACTAACTGGTTACTGTAACTAACTGGTTGCGGTAACTAACTGGTTACGGTAACTAACTGGTTGTGGTAACCAATTGCTTAAGGTAACTAACTGGTTACGGTAACTAACTGGTTATGTTAACTAGCTGGTTGCGGTAACTAATTGGTTATGTAACTAGCTGGTTACGGTAACTTAACTGGTTGCGGTAACTAGCTGGTTGCAGTAACTAGCTGGTTGCTGTAACTAACTGGTTATGGTAACTAATTGGTTGCTGTATCTAATTGGTTACGGTAACTAACTGGTTGCTGTAACTAATTGGTTATGGTAACTAACTGGTTGCAGTAACTAGCTGGTTGCTGTAACTAACTGGTTATGGTAACTAATTGGTTGCTGTATCTAATTGGTTACGGTAACTAACTGGTTGCTGTAACTAATTGGTTATGGTAACTAACTGGTTGCAGTAACTAACTGGTTGCGTAACTAACTGGTTATGGTAACTAACTGTTTGCGGTAACTAACTGGTTATGGTAAGTGTCAGTTTGAACATTTTCCGAAATTTCCACCATTTAAGAATTAATTCAGGTGATTCTGGAAATCCGTCAGAGGAAAACTTGTTGGAGAATAAAACCCGATGTTAGGATGGTAAAGGATTTCAGAATAAAGTTTCAATATCTTTTTTGTTGTTTTATGAGGTCACAGCCTGGTTAACTAACTGAGTAACCAACCACTAACTATTACCAAGCAGATTAAAGCAGAATGAAAGAGTCACATCTGACCTGCTCTAAGTGTTGTAAGCTAATATCCATAAGCGTGTGTGCGTGTGTGTGTGTGTGTTCAGGGTTCAGCCTCCATTGTGTCGGGTGCTCCCTCCATCCTCCTCAGCGCCATGACGACGGACTCCATCTGTGAACGCGTGCGTCAGACCGAGGGTTTGGACCCGACCATGATTGGACAGTACACCGCCACCATCAGGAAGGTCGGCGAGACACGGGATGCGTGGAGGAGACCCGCTGGAACAGATGTTTAACGGGTTTGTTCTGTTCTGGTTTTCAGGCCAACGTGAACGGCCGGGTTCTGTCTCAGTGTAACATCGATGAGCTGAAGAAGGAGATGAACATGAACTTTGGAGACTGGCAGCTCTTCAGAGCCATGGTCAGCACCAAACAACCCTCAGCACCACATTTACTGCCAGAACCGGGTCTGACCCCATCTTCTGCTACAGGTTCTGGAGATGCGCCACATCGAGAGCCAGGTCCTACACGAGGAAACTGCCAGCGAGCAAGGCAGCATTGTGGGTGGCCCCGTGGAGGTGGGAAGGAGAGCTTTAGCCCCGCCCCACGCTGGCGCCGCCAACACTGATGGTTCGGCGATGTACAGCTTCAACCTGAGCTTTGAGGAGCTGAGTGGTGTCGGACTGGATGAGGCGCCGCGGAACGGAAACGCACCCTGGATGGTAAGTGGCATTCTGACCTCCCAGAACCAGGTGGGTCTGAGAGGACGGTTGTTAAGGTGCTCCGTGTGTCCTCAGGGCATCGCACACCGGACCGCCAGCATGACCAGTCTGAACTCCCAGGAGTCGTCCAACGACATCGCCAAGCTGACGGACAAACAGCAGGCGGAATACCGCAATGCCTACCAGGAGTACATTGCTCAGATGGCCCAGTTGGAACTGGGAAGCATCACAGAGAAACCCGTCCAACCACAGCCAGGACAGTTCATGACATCATCATCATCTGAAGACAAGAGCAAAGACGGCACTGAGCAGGATGGACGAAAATCCTTCAACAAGAGAAACGGCGCCAAGCCATTGGCAGACAACACCGACTTCCCCTCCAACGGCGACGGTCTTGACCCGATCACAGAGGAGGACGAGAAAGGAGACCACGGCTCGTCCAAGTCCCTGCTGACCCGTAAGCTGTCTGCTGAGAGGGGAGGGCTGTTCCAGGGCGCCGCCGACCTGAAGGTGAAGGCCACCAGCGGACTTCGCTACCAGAAGCTGACCAGTGACGACGAGGAGTCTGAGGAGTCTGATAACCCATCCCAGCTGAAAGATGGCAAGAGGGCGATCGACCCCAAGCTGCCAGGAGGCTCGCTCGCCCTGAAGGGGAAGGACTACCTGTCGGACGCCATGCTGGACAAGAAGGACTCCTCCGACTCGGGTGTGCGCTCCAACGAGAGCTCGCCTAACCACTCGCTGCAGGATGAGGAGGCGGATCTGTCTCAGCTGGAGAGAGCCAACCTCATTGAGCTGGACGAGGAGAACGTGGCCAGGAAGCGCGGCCTACCCAGCAGCCTGAGCGGCCTGCAGGACCCGACCGTAACCCGAATGTCCATCTGCTCCGAGGACCAGTGCAGCCTGCTGGCCAGCAGCCCCGAAGAGAGCTGGCCATCTTCCAAGTCCTACAACCTGAACCGCACGCCCAGCAACGTCACCCTGAACAACAACACCAATGCCCAGCAGGGCACCAGGCCCCGCCCACCAACAGAAAGCTCCACCTCCTCCCACCAGACCTCCACTGGCAACATCATCATGTCCCCAAGCTCCACCGCCAGACCTGGTCCCAACAACGAGAACGTCCGTGTGGTCCACCTGAAGAGGGGCCTGAAGCCTGGAGACCCGCCGGAGATCTGCACCGTGTCCTCCGACACTGTGACCTTCAGCGAGGAGCGCGAGAGCATTCTGTGAGGAGGAAGTCCTCGCCAGGAAATCCAGTTCGGTTTTGATCTTATGGAGGCAAAGAGTGGCCGGTGGGCGTGGCCGAGTCCTTCTTGTTAGTCGTCGTAGTCGCATGCTGTCTGCTGTAGTGAGTAGATGAACGTGAAGCTTTGTGGTGACGTGGTGGACAACCTGCTGCATGTCGGTGTGGTTCGCTCTCATGAAGAAGAAACTAACATCAGATCTGATCTAGCTGAGACGTCCCGTGTGGTGTCGATGTCATTAGATGTTGTGTAAACCTAAAAATGGCGTTTTGTTGTAGAAGTCGACAGATGCTGTTTGATCCAGAGGTCCATCGATTCGCCTCTGCAGCGGCAAAGAGACAAAACCTGCGCAGCTTAACTAACTTAGCTAGTTTCTATCGGAAAAGTAGAAAAATCTCTGCCCGTGTTAGGGACGTGGTTAGGCCTTCACAGTAAGAGCCCTAGCGCCGTACTTTACTGATGACTCAGCAGATTCGATGCTAGGAGCATCGTGTCCTCCTCCTGCAAACCATACGATATTTACTGAGCTTAAGTCAGTTGAATTATATACATGATGAATGGATATTAGTAATAAACACTAAATAGTTACTAACAACACAGCTGCTGCTGCGTCCTTTTAGTTTCTAGAACGACTTTTTGCACATTTTCAATAATCACGTCTCAATAAATATGAAAAGCTCCAGATTTCAGCCGATTAATCTTTCTACCTCTGGCTCCATCAGCTTATTGATCATCAGTATTTATAATAGATGTTAAATCTGTGTTTGAATCTGTCCAGACAGGAAGTTGTTTTAATCCCAGTCGGGTTGTATTCTGACGTGCAGCAGAATAAAGTTTATGGCTTTTTATTTATTTATTTATTTTTCTTTTGTTGTTTGAAAACAAATTGAGATGGCCACAGATAATAAATTAAAAAAATCTGATTTATCGAGAATGAAGTGAAAACTGAAACCAGTCTGAGATTATTTTAGATGTTCAAATTAAAACAGAATCCCACAAACATGAAAACATTTCATTTGAATAAAATTTCAGCTCTTATTACATTAAAGGTTTTCTTCAGATTAAAAGCCAGACTGCTGCTGAATAAACAGGCTGTTAACTAGATGGTGGTATTTGTGTAAAGGTGTTGAAGTCGTGTGTCCAGTAACCTGTGATCATGTGACTCTTGTGCTCTAAGATGAATAAAACTGGATGTTAAATGTTGCTCTTGCTTCCAGACTGGTTTTTATTTTACTACGGTTCAGCAAAAAACTCCTAATGTGAAAATAAAGGATTGCAGCTTTCATTTAGGCAAATCCCTTCATTTATTACCGTAGATTCATTTTTATTTATTTCCTGAAAATTTTAAGGAAAAAAGAAAACAACATTAATCACCAGAATAATTTCAACATGTTACATCAAGAGTGGATTACTGTAATTCATTACTCTCAGGAAGTCCACAGAATTTGGTTAAAAGTCTTCAGCTTGTCCAAAATGCTGCAGCTAGAGATCTGATGAGAATTAAAAAGAGAGATCATATCTCTCCTGTCTTAGCTTCCCTAGATCCTCCGTCTCACATATAAAGCTCTTAACAATCAAGCTCATCAACAGGGACAACAGGGGAAGACAGCACAAAATAGTACTCAAGTGGGCCCTGTATGTACCCTCATATCCCCAGGATATTTTCTCGGTGAAAGCTGCTACAACAAATGGAGCTACGGTCACGTTCAGAAACGGAAAAAGCATGCTGGAACACCCCGATGGAACAATATTCCCTATTCATGAGAGTGGCAGACTATATTATCTACGGACCGTGAGTATTGAACCTTTGGATCACTGTAATGGTACTTACTATGTACAGACTTGGCATGAAATTATGGGACATTGCAATTGTGATGATGTTCTTAAACTACAAAACGTTGTTGATGGAATGAAAATTAATGACAAAAATGATCAAGGTCGTAGACAATGTGAAGTGTGTATCAAGGGAAAGTTTGTGCAAGAGAGAAATAGAGAACCAGACGCTAGAGCTAAAATGGTGTTAGAACTCGTTCACACTGATATAGCCGGACCAATTAGCCCAGAATCTATAGACGGACATAAGTATGCAATATCGTTCACTGATGATTATTCCAGCGCAGTATTTGTGTACTTTTTAAAATGGAAAAGCGATGCTATAATAGCAACTGAGAAATTCCTTGCTGATACAGCACCATATGGACAAGTGAAATGCTTGCGTTCTGACAACGGGTCTGAGTATACTGGAAAAGAATACCAGTCACTGTTACGGAAAAATGGCATAAGACATGAAACGTCGGCACCATACTCACCACACCAAAATGGCACAGCTGAACGAAACTGGCGTACATTGTTTGATATGGCCAGGTGCATGCTTATTGAGTATTTTACCAAAGTCATTGTGGGTCTACGCAGTACACAGGACAGACACCAGTCCAAATGATGTGTGGAAAAAGACCAAACCTCTCACGAATGCGTAAATTTGGTACCACTTGCTATGCTTATAAGCATAAGGGAAAGCTTGACTCAAGGTGTGAAAAAGGTATTTTCGTAGGATACGACAAAAACAGTCCCGCTTACCACATATATTTCCCAAACAAAAGAATGATACAGAAACATAGACTAGTGAAATTCGTTATGAATAAAACTGAACAACAAGATGTAAGACCATCTGAGGACGAGTTTGTTATACCAAACCGAGTCAGAACAGAACAACTAACGAACCAAACCACAAAGCAGGAAGAAAGCCCAGACGCCATAGCCATAAAGGAGACTCTTATTGTAGCCTTATATATAGCCATGCCCTGATGTGGGGGCTGGGGGGTGCGTCGACATGGTCGGGACATAGAAGGGGGTGCGCGGCTAAATAAGTTTGGGAACCGCTAGGGGATATAGGGAAGGAAGTGGGTGAAAGAATATAGCCAGGCAGACCAGATGACATGGATACATCAGTACAGCTCACTTGTGGATGTGTGGAAAACCAAGTGTTCTATAATTAGAGATGGGACCTTCTTGCTTAAATAAAATATATATCTTTAAACCCATAATGTGATAAACCACTTAGGGTATCACACACTCCCCCACAAAAAATAAAACGGCTCCTGACCTTCTGACCTCCATCTCACACAAAAATTCTAACTATTAAAACATACAAATCAACACACTATCGTCAGTTAGTAATGCTGGTAAAGTGGTTGATGATAGTGTCCTGACCAAGTGTACTGAAAGGGAAGGTAGGGTGGTGGACTATGATAAAAGACTGGCATAGGGGATATAGAGAAGGAAGTGGGTGAAAGAATATAGCCAGGCAGACCAGATGACATGGATACATCAGTACAGCTCACTTGTGGATGTGTGGAAGTAACAGGCTGGCCTAGTGTATTGTAGGTGAATAGTGAAGCTGGCCGCCGTTCTCTTGTAGAACGTCTCAGCATTGTTTCATTTGCAGCAGATGTTGGGTTGGATACAGGGAGAGTCTCCTCTGAGTGAGTCGGTTCACTGTCATCTACATATGGCATCACTGTAACTTCAGTCTCCTCTCCTCTGTCCTGTCTTTCCTCTTCATGGTCGGTGTCTGGTCCCCTGTTTGGGTGATCATCTGGTCCTCTTTCACTTTCTCTTGTGGCCTCCTCTTGCCTTTCCCTGAACAACTGTCCCCACTCCCTCCGGTGTGACCCCTGGCTCACTGACTGGTTTGATTCTGTGGGAGCTAGATTCCTTACGAGAACACGGCTAGGTTCATGGGCTGGCTGGGCAGTGTCTGCACTATAACTCATTAAGTTATATCTCTGCTCATAATAAGAACTCTCTTCATCAGAGCCAGATTCACTGTTGGGTTGGAAAACTGCATCTCTTGGAGTTAAACACACGCTCTTCCTTCTCGCAGCTGATGGCTTGGCATCCTTGGCTGCTGCAGGCAAGTCCACAGGAAGCTCATTAACAAGATGCAGTAGGTTACGGTGCAGAACCCTTGACTTGTTTCCATTTGTCTCGGCAATGACTCGGTAAACTGGGCTGTCACTGACCTGTTCTTTCACCACATAAATAGTATTTTCCCAGTATGACCTCAACTTCCCAGGGTCACCCCTTTCAGTCAGGTTACGCACCAGCACTCGATCTCCAGGCTGTAATATCACTCCCTTCAGGTGTCGGTCATAATACTTTTTGACACAATCACTCGATTTTTTGCTGTTCTCTGAGGCAATTCTGTAGGCCTTGCTCATCCGTTCTGCCCATTTCTCTGCATAGCCTCTTGCTGTTTGAGGCTCATCACTAGAGCCCATCCTGAATAAAACCTCCACAGCCAATCTTGGTTGTCTGCTCAAGAGAAAAAAAAGGGAGAGTACCCCGTTGCTTCATGCCGGGTACAGTTGTACGCATGGATGATCTGTGGGAGGAACTCTTTCCATCTTTCCTTTTTCTCTTGTCCAAGAGTTCTCATCATCTGCAACACCGTGCAATTGAATCGCTCCGCCGGGTTACCCTGAGGGTGGTATGGGGTTGTGCGTGAGCGTCCAACTCCAGTCAGCTTTTGTAAATTCCAGAAGAGCTCATTTTCGAATTCACGCCCCTGATCATGGTGTAGCTTCATGGGATACCCGAACCTGGGAATAAAATCATTAAAGATCGCTCTGCTGCCGTTTTACCACTTTTGTTACAGGTTGGATAGGCCTGGGCATACCTAGTGAAGTGGTCGACCACCACCAGAATGTACTGGTATCCTCCTTGGCTTGACTCTAAATGCAGAAAATCGATGGACGCAAGCTCCAAGGGTGAGCTAGATGTTATGCTTGATGTGGCAAGGTGGATAAACGAGGGCCCGGGCGGGATTCGATCCCCAGGTGAGAGTCATACGCGCTAACCAGTCAGCCAAAGGGACATCCCCTTGGCCAAGTAGCCAGGGCGCATGATCTATCGGGACACTGTGACAGGACACTCACACTGCCACATCTTCCCCGCTCTTTCCACAAGCACGTCCTCGTGCTCCCGCGCAGGGTGCCACAAACTTCACATCCATGGACCTACTTGACAGTACTACATGGATCCTGCCAACAACGCCAAATGTGGCAAGGTGGATAAACGAGGGCCCAGGCGGGATTAGATCTCCAGACTCCCAGGTGAGAGTCATACGCTCTTACCAGTCAGCCAAAGGGACATCCCCTTGGCCAAGTAGCCAGGGCGCATGATCTATCGGGACACTGTGACAGGACACTCACACTGCCACATTGACATAGGGGCTCTGATATGTGTAACCGGCTTCTTTTGTTTGATGCATGGGCACTGCCGTGTGACGTAAGTCTAATGTCTCGCCACATATAAGGCCAGTAAAATGTTTGTCTGGTCAGATTGAGAACTCTTTCAGTCCCAACATGGCCCATGTCATTGTGTAAGTGCTTCAGAACTAGTGACTTGAAGCTGCTTGGCAAGACTAGCTGGCGGCTTTCTGCTCTTGTGCGATATAGAATCCCATTTTCAACATGTAGCTTTGTCCACTCATGCATCACTTTCTTTGCAGTGCCTTTCATCTCCCTTTTCACATTCTCTGTGAGTTGTAGCCCCGATTCTTTCATTCTCAGGATGTCACCAATCACTGGATCTTCTCGTTGAGCCTTTTGTAGTTCTTTGAGATCAATGGATTGGATGATGTTCCTGCAGCTTGGTTCAAGCTGAGAACCTTGTGCTAGTGTTAACACAGCGACCCAGGCAACATCATCACGCTGACCTGCTCAACAGCCTTCCCATACAGCCGCAACATCTTCTCTGGAGAGCTCTTTTGTACAGACAGCCACAAATCCGTCAATATCCAGGGGCCGTCGGGACAAAGTGTCTGCATCAACATTCACCTTAAACTGAAATCTGACAACCCTCCCACCCATCTGTAGCCAACTGCATTCAGTTTGGCAGTAGTCATGACATAAGTTAAGGGATTATTGTCCGTGTAGATGGTAAAATATGGGGCATAAAACAATCCCAAAATTTCTCGCAGACAGCCTACTTGAGTGCGAGAAACTCTAACTTGCCTGAGTGCAGCTGATAGTTCTTTTCAGCAGGGGTGAGCGTCCTTGAGCCATAGCCTATTACCCTGAGTTTCCCATTTTGTCTTTGGTAGAGGACTGCACCCAGTCCTTTATCGGAGGCATCAGTATGAAGCACAAAAGGGAGCTCAAAGTCGGGGTAGGCAAGAATGGTCGGTTTCACCAGCATGT